ACCCTTTCAGCCTTTTCCCAATTGCCTCGGCAGAGAACCCGAATTCCCCTGTCTCGCCTGAGTCTAAGTCCCATCCTGGTGCTCCCATCAAAGCCCCCGCCTCCGTGGATGAAGGGTCCTCTGCTTCTTGAGCCTCATGAAGTTCTTGACCTTTCTAAGCCCAATGCCAAGAAGATATTCAATAAAGCGAGGTGGAAAACAATCTGACAAGGCTTTGACTGCGAAGAAAGTGGCGTCAGAGGGAAGAAGGCTATGAAGAAAATTGTCCAAGGCATTGAAAAACTTCAGAAGGGTCAGAATTACTCAACTGATACGCAGATGGGTCCTGCGCAAAGCTGAAATTGAGGATACTTTAGAACAATTCGAAAAAGACGGGCGATTTCGGAACTCGGGGTAGGATGCCATGGGAGAAAGATGAGATTATTCAGTTTCGGAGGACGAAAAAGGAGAAGGCCGTGACTACTGCGGATTTGACTCTTGATAAGGCATTGCTAAGGAGATTAAGAACTGATGCTGCTAGAATGAGAACTTGGGTGAAGGTTAAGAAAGCTGGTGTTACTCAAGCTGTTGTTGATGAAATTAAACGCATTTGGACTAGAAGTGAGCTTGCCATGGTTAAATTTGATATCCCATTGTGCCGGAATATGGATAGAGCTCGAGAAATTGTCGAGGTTAGGCTTGTGAATAATGTTCTCTATTTGCATTTTCGAAGCGATACGTTTCAAAAGTTGGTTTTTAAAATATGTTTTAGTTCTATGTGAACATGCTGCCATATTGAACTGAATTTAAGGATCAATATGTGCTGCGTACCTTGAATGAACTGCGGAGATGGGAATCGTCAGGGTAATTCCTCGTCTTTAAAATCTTACAATAGTAACCTGATTTATTTAACTGAGTTTTAGAGGTGAAAGACAAAATTGAACTAATCCGAGATGTCTAATGGCGAGAAACGATATCATGTCATATATTCCTTTGACTTGTAGATCATACATCTGTTTCTAGTTTACTTATCCGATGTGTTTGTCCTTATTTCCTATGTGAATAGTTTAAGACTGGAGGCTTGGTTGTCGGGAGTAAGAAAGATACGCTTGTCATTTACCGAGGCCAAAATCATCAGATCACTCCTAAAGTTTCAGGAAAGATTTATACAAGATACTATCACAGACAAAACGCAAACCATCACGGAATCAATTTGTTGCAGTCAGAAACCAAGGACAATCTTTACGAGTTTGACTTCCATCAAAGTGGTGCTCATGACATGTTGAGGTGGAAAGCTGGTAGTGGAGACTTTGCAGTAACTGATATCCATAACGAAGAAGATGTGAATTGCCAAACTGTGACTGGATCCTTGTATGAGAGGGAAACTGATAGGTTACTGGATGGCTTAGGACCCCGCTTCATTGATTGGTGGATGCACAAGCCACTCCCAGTAGATGGTGACTTACTTCCAGAAGTGGTTCCTGGATTTGAGCCTCCATTTAGGCTTTCTCCACCTTATGCTAATTCAAAACTGACGGATAATGAACTTACGTACTTGAGGAGGCTTGCTCACCCTTTGCCGGTCCATTTTGTTCTTGGTACTCTCCCGCTGATGTAATCTATCCGCTTACTTTTATTATTTCTTTATTTGTTTGCATTCTAGGCTCTTTTTTTCCCCCCTATTTTTTTAAGCTGAGAAATGATAATATGTAACATTTTCTCTTTCTTTCTGGATTTGACGATTTTATGCAATCTATGCGGGACATTTACTAGTATGACCTAGCTTAAAGAAGAAATGTCTTATCTTTTTATTCTGGGGTAGTTTTATTTTTGTGCATTACTTGTTGTCTGCCCATATCTCTTATGGAATTCTGTTTCAACCCTATGATAGTTAATAATAGTAATGCCTCATAGTATACTAGCATACCCTAGTTCGAAATTTGAATGTAATTCTCCTCAGCTATTGTCGTTTTTTTCCCCCCCAGCAGAAACCTTGCGGAAAAGGCCACGGGTTTTGTTTGACGTTATAAATTAGAAATTCATGAGTTAGCTACCTCTTTCTTGTTCAGACTTCAGGCCAGAATATGTTATTCTCTAGAGAAGTATTGCGTTACAGGCCACAGGCTATAGAGTCACTTTGTATTAGCACAGGCACGGCCACCTACACATATTCATATTTTTGGTGTTTGCATCGGTTTGTTTTATATGTGGATATCTGTTGTATAAGCTAGTAATTTGTTAATATCATGTGTATATACATTCTGAAAAGCTTAAAAGTAAATTTAAGTAGATCAATTCTTTAGTAACCTAATTTTTCCAAGTTAGTAAATTTATTTTTTAGTGCATAGGACATCATCATGTATTGTGTTTAGAAGCATCAGATTCAGGAGCCATCCAGCCAGATTAATTTTTGAGTTTGTTGCTATATGGAGATCAAATACAAAGATATATTCATGCCTTTTTTTTTTTGGCCTGAGATATATTCATTTCACTTCACTGCATAAGAATTAGTTACTTAAGTTTGTTTCTAGTTCTAAATCTATGACTTTTCGTGTCATTTCAAATTCACACCTGAATAAACTCAGTTACAAATTGAAAACCTTAGTTAAAAACTTAATTAAATGGAAATTAGATACTGTTACAAATTGAAAACCTTAATGGAAATTAAGTTACTTATACATGGCAAGGTGAAGGAGTCCATGTAACAGTATCTAACTGCTTCTGCTGGGGAAAGAACAGTGAATCTAATCAATATTTTTATTGAAAGAAAATTTTGATTGGTTGGTTATAAATTGTTCTTTTAATTGGTTGGTTATTAATTGATCCGAAGCCTAGCCAGAAGTGTATGTGGGGTACCTCCTTTCTTGCTTATCATTGCATGAATAAGGTTAATGAATAATGCTTCTCTATTTTATGAAGGTAGGAACAGAAGACTACAGGGCTTGGCTTCTGCAATTTTGAAGTTGTGGGAAAAGAGCCTTATAGCAAAAATTGCTGTGAAGTACGGAGTTCTTAATACTGACAATGAAAAAATGGCCAATGAGCTGAAGGTAAGTTGCATAGAAGTTTTTTTGTGATCTGCATCTGTGACCAAGACATTCCAAGTTTTAGTCGTTCTGTCCTTCTGTATATTAAAGATTGACTCTTTGGATTGAATTGAATGAATTATTCTCACCAACCTTCAAGGTAGAGCTTGACACTTTCGCTGTCCTCACTTGCAAATTAGCCTTCTCACGTGCTGTTGGGCAATTTATGAGACTGGAATGTGAATATCAAAGCCAATCATGGTTGGGCATATAATGGTTTCATTTTGAATCTTGTACCTGAAAGCCAAGCTAAAATTTCTTCTTGTCCAGCTGTAAAATTCTCCTCCGTAGCTCGTATGCATGTTCAATGTGTTGGTTCTGGTTCATGTATGTTGGAACAAGTTTTCTTAACATTGTTATCTGCAATGCAGCGTCTTACAGGAGGAACCCTGTTGCTGCGTAATAAGTTTTATATAATACTTTATAGGGGCAAGGACTTCCTTCCTAGAAGAGTTACAGCTTTGGTGGAAAAGAGAGAAGAAGAGCTTAACGGCTGTCAACTTCACGAAGAAGTTTCACGGCTGAAAGCAGTTGAGGCTTTTTCACCAATTGATGAACCACAGCAGAACACTAGTACAAGTGGTACCTTATCAGAGTTCAAGAAAATCCAAAGAACGATTTGGTATGCCAAAAACGTCCATGAAGATGTAAATGTTCAACTGGAAGCTGAAATAGTCAGATTGGAGAGGGAATTGAAAAGGGGAAAGCGCCAACTATTCATAGTATGACACGACCTATCATCTTTTTCATTTTAAGTTGGAATTATACAAATATTTTGTGAACTATCTTTGTCGACTCTGCAGCTTAATAAGAAAATAGAGAACTCAACAAAGGAATTATCAAAGTTAAATGCTGCTTTTACACCTTCTGAGAAGGACTCAGACCTGGAAATAATGACAGAGGAAGAGAGACAATGTTTCCAGAAGATAGGACTGAAGATGCGCAGTTGCTTAGTGCTTGGTAAATAAATTGTACTTCTCACATTTTGTTTCCTTTATAGGCTGCTCTTCCCCTCTCTGCTGTTTTTTTTTTTTTTTTTTTTTCCCAATCTAATCCAGAGTAGCGATTATATATATCAAAGTCTGCTTTTTGTCAAATGGGTTATATGAAGACAAATAAAGACAAATATATATTATTTCACTTGCTTGTGAGCCAGCAGCCCTCGATTGAAACATCCAAAGGGGCATATCCTGATGTGGCTACAATTGCAAAGTACAGTTACTGATGCAGTTTTTGTTACAGCTTCTCCATGAAGTCTTTTATTGTTGGAAATATCTTCGTTTTTATTTTTTCTGGCCCTTAGAAATTCTATTAAACGGTGACTGCAGGCAGGCGTGGGATCTTTGATGGTGTATTGGAGGGCATACATCAGCACTGGAAGCACAGAGAAGTAGTAAAGATCATTACAATGCAGAGAGTGTTTGGGCAGGTCATCAACACAGCAACATCTCTCGAGGCAGAAAGTGGTGGGGTTCTAGTTTCTGTTGATAAATTAAAAGAAGGCCATGCAATAATTATTTACCGTGGAAAAAACTATAGACGGCCTTCAGAAAAGGGGACAAAAAATCTTCTAACGAAAAGAGAAGCATTGCGTAGATCTATTGAAATGCAGAGAATTGGAGTAAGTGATTTTTTCCCTTGTGCTTCTGGCATTCTCCTAGTTTCTAGAGACAACTGTAAACATTTCTTTCTATGTATTTGCTTCTGCTTGTATTCACTTCTCCCTGTGGGTCTGATTTACTTATTATTCTCAGTCATTGAAGTTTTTTGCACATCAAAGACAGCAGAGAATCGCAGATTTGAAGCTCAAACTGGTAAATACAAGGTTTTCTGTTTTTGCTTGAAATTAGATCATGTTAACAAAATTAATAAATCATAAATATGTTTAGTTGTTCCTTCTGTTTGACAAGAAAACTTGACTTCAACTTGAATTTTGCAGGCAGATCTCCAGCAGAGAAAGGAAGTTGAGCAGAGGCATAAAGAAAATTAATATACAAATATACACATCCCACTGGTTTGCTCTTAATTTGTCTGCAAATTCTGGGGGACAAGAAATAGGAAAATTTCTCCCAAGCATTAGTGTATAGCATATTTTTGCGAGTGAGTATCTTGAATTAATCACTGTTTGAGTCCTACAAAGAGGAAAAATTCGATATCTGGAATCAACTGTGATAGAATCCACTGCTCAAATATACTATTAAGAGATGAAAAATCTAGCCAGAGTGTAAGTCTAAGCAACAGAATTTTTTGAGGAAAAAATTACTAATCGAAATATCTAACCGCATCTATTGTTAAATCACTAAATAATTTTTTTTTAAAATTTAGTCTGCATATTACATCATAAAGACTTGGAATTCTGATTTAAAATATTTTATTTATTACACAGAAAATATTATTATTAAATATTGTAGGTGACTGATCCAAGAGTTAGGGGTCAAACATTTACACGAGGATCAATAGCCCTCATATTTGTACGACAATTCTCAGCATCCATGCTAAGCCTGAATGTCATGATTGTATTTAAAGCGTCTAGATTTGATATAAAGTATCTAAATTCAATAAATACTTGTACATGTACTTCTTTTGTTACTCTAACTAGATACTCTAATATAATAAGGATGCAGTGTCTTTAGAAAAAGGGGTTTATATTTGAAGGCATCCTACATACGAAAGCAGATATAGGACTCATGAGTAAAGGACAGAACATAGAAAATGCAACTTCAATAATTAATTGACTAAGTATATATTAGCGAGTTAGCTGCAAAAATTTTCAAAAGGAAAAATAGAACAGTTGGAAATCATTTAGACAATGCTGCTTATATTTATGAACAAATAGAAAGGGAAGCAGTTGATGGAAATTATCTATGAATTCTACCAATACAATTCAAAGTTGAATTGTCCTCAGCAGTTCGTAGGGTATATGCGCTATCTGCTTATTCAATTTGTTTGAATCATTTCTTCGGATGATCCATTTGACAATTGTATAACAGGTGATTTTGTGGGATATTCAAGGGTTGGCTTTGGAGGAACTGTTAAGGATTGAAGGGGTCCTCCTAACATTTCTACCACTTTACTCATAGCTGGTCTATCTGATGGATTTGTTTGAACACACCATAGACTCACTAAAGTCATCTTCGTTACCACCTCATCATCTTCCTCTTGTGATTACTAAAGAACTAGCTGGATGCTTACCATGTTCAAGATCCTTATAAATCCAATCTGGAAAATACAGCTCACGGGTTTGTGATCCTCCACTGTCATAGTTCTTCCTTCCTCCGACCATTTCAAGGACCAACATGCCATAGCTATAAACATCTGCTTTGTGAGAAACACCACCAACTGCTCTACTGGATATTTCTGGTGCAATGAACCCTATTGTTCCTCTTGTGCCTAGTATTGATACAGTACTCTCTTTCTTTTGACATAATTTAGCCAATCCAAAATCAGATATTTTTGGGGAAAATTCTTCATCCAAGAGAATGTTCTGGGGTTTGATATCAAGGTGCAAAATTCTCGTGTTACCCCGATGCAAGTACTCAAGCCCACGAGCAATGCCAATAGCAACCCGGTACAATACCTTCCACTGCAAGGTACAGAAAGCATTTGGAGATCCTCTTTGATAGATGAAATTATCCAAGGAACCGTTTGACAGGTATTCATAGATTAACACTCTTGTTCCTTTCATAACAAAATCCCAGGAGAGTGACTATGTTGATATGGGAGGTTCTGCTGATACTTGCAACTTCATTTATAAATTCTCCTCCACTTCCTTTAGATTCCTTTATTACTTTAACTGCGACAGGACGACCATCCGGTAGGCTTGCTTTGTATACAATACCATACCCTCCTTCGCCCAATTTGTTTGAAAATGATTTTGTCATTCTTTTCACTTCTGAATAACTGTATTTCTTTGGTGCCAGAGAGCCCCAGTTTCTCATGAAGGATTGAAGATTGTAATCATGATTTGCTCTTCTCGCTTTGAATATATAAATCATCAAAATCGAGATTAGAGCAAGTCCACCTACACCTGCTGAAATGGCTGCATTTGTAGAACATAACTTCTTAAAATCTTTGAAATATTAATTGCGGAAGCTATTAAAATCAAAGTTGCTGTCTTTATTACCTATAGCAAGTCGCCAACCCAGCTTCTCAGTTGATCCTGCAATTAGAACTCTGTTCAGCCTTAAATTGACAGAGTGATTTTGGAATTTACAAGTGACGGACATAATCATTTATATGTAGGCCGATAGGGCTAAGGAGAGTCTATCATGATATCTTTTGAAATCAAGAAACTAATATCCTACTTCTTAATATAAGATTTAGATAATTAATTTGTGAATATTAAGAAAATTAGTTAGGCTAGTTATTTGTAATAAATGAGTGTTGTTTTTTATAAAATATCCTTATTAATCATGTGCATTATAAAATTACTATTTAATGAAAACCCTTTAACATGTACAATCATTATATTTATGATCAAATTGAATTTACAACTAGTTCTTATATTAAGAATCAGAACCTGGAGGTAGTTATATAATAATTCCAAATAAAAAATGGAGTTATCAGGTTGTTTAGAATAAATCCAAAAAAAAAAAAACAGAGGGAGAGGTTACAACTGAGCATAATTACAATATGATAACTCTTGAAACAAAAAGGTTAGAAAAAATCCCAACAAAATATCTTTGAATTTCAAAATTTTAACTTAATCTTGTTTATTTCATTTTAATAACAAATGATAACATTTGAAAAATAAATGACAACACATTTTTGTAGTTATTCCTGATTTTAGATTTTGAAATTTTAAAGGTATTTTTCTGATATTTTTTCAAAAATTAATTAAAGGCATATATGCCAAGTGCTAACACAATGAAAGTGAGTGAAATATCCTTTACACTAAATGAGATTACATCTTATCACGATGTGCTTCGTAGATTGGTATAAATTATATGCATGGGATCGGAATTAGAAGGTTTTCAGATCCTAAGGAGTGAGAAGTGGAAATAGACCGACATGACTTGAGAATGAATATTCTCAAATGAAAAATGACAATTGTTTAATCATGAGGAAATATGACCTAAATGTAGTTGTGCAAGTTGACTTGGAGTCAAAGAAGGTTGTCCATATTTTAAAACTGATGTGAACAACCCATGAAGCCTGGCACTTACCTAATAATGTCTATCTACCGCCAGCAAATACTCTAAACAGGACTTCTTATATTTTCCCAGATGAAGTTGGTGTGTATGAAAATTAAGTAAATTAAGCCAATCAAGGAGAAACATGTAGGTTGCGTTTCATTGTAATTTGGCATAAACATGTCTCATTAGTGCCAGTGTCCACGTAAACCGAAGAGAAAAACCAAAGCGGTTTTTTCTAGCTTTTCCTGGAGATGAACCACAATCAGATGGTTGTTGCAGAAGTCAGGAATCGTTCTTGAGGAATATGAATAAACTATGCATGGAGTTATATATAAACTAAACTATGTTTTCCCTTTGGCATGGCTTCCTGGCTAAAGGCTATCAAGGTCCTATCTGCAGAAAAGAGCAGGGGACATGTGGGCAAAGTCTGTAACTATCTAAAAGCAATAACTGGCGAGGATATGAATAAGCCAGTATTATCTGAAATAACCCATTGAAACTCAAGGCATGTTCATCAATCTATGTTCACAGAAGTCATTAATTGCTGAAACTTCAATCTGTGCAGTACCAGTACGTCAAAAACAGACCTGTGCGGAGACAACTCTTCAAATTACACAACATTACATGTTTTGTCGTGTAGCGATTCTTTATATGAATTACTAGAACACTGGTACTTACTTGGTCTACATGCAGATGGAACAGGTCCGTGTTTGCAATAGCAAATGAATTCACTTGAGCTTGTGTTATAACCGCATTGCCCACCAGAGTTTCGACAATCAGAGCACGGAGAATGATTTGCCTGCCATACCAATTTAAAGCCTTTATCAATAGCAGTCTTCATATTTTCCACACTTGAATCTTCCTCTAAAATTCTGGCTTGTGACTCCAAAATTGGAACAATGATGGTAGATCTGCAGGCCCATGTTTCTTCGATTTCAGAGTTCCCATCAATATCTCGGACCTCCAGAAGGAAATAGTCAACTATTTCGGTACTATTTATACTGCAATTAAACTGAGTGGGGCGGATATACGGGAGAGAAAACGGAGGGGAAGGACAATCGTAGTACAGTGTCAGGTCATGAGTACAACGTACGTATTGCCAATAGGTTTTCTAATTTCAGCCCTTGCTTGCTCTCTCACTATCTCTGTATTATAATATTTTAAATATCATTTTGTCTTTTATGTGAAAAAAATTTGTCAATACCCGTTATATGCACCAGTCAAAATATATAACATTTTCAATTTCAACTAGCTGAGCGGGTTTGACTTTTGCTTCATCATGGACAAGCAACAACACTGAAAAATTCCACCGGATCGTCCTTCAGGCGCCTTAGCTTGGATTAATTGCGCATGCGTAAAATTTTGAAATATTTGTATCCATGTTTATTCAAGGGTCATTGACCCTCATATTTGTATGAACAAACAGAAAGGAAAGCAATAGTTGGCAATTATCCATGAATCTTCCGAGACAATTCGAAGTTAAATTGTCTTTGGCACTAGGTAGAGTATACAAGTCAACTGCTTATTGAAACTGTATGAATCATGTCTTCGGAAGATGCATTTGACAATTGTATAACTACTGATGATTTGGTAGGATATTCAAGGGATGGCTTTGGAGGAACCGTTAAGGATTGAAGGGGTCCTTCTAACATTTCTACCACTTTACTCATAGCTGGTCTATCTGATGGATTTGTTTGGACACACCATAGACTCACTAAAGTCATCTTCCTTACCACTTCATCATCTTCCTCTGTGATTACTAAAGAACTAGCTGGATGCTTACCATGTTCAAGATCCTTATAAATCCAATCTGGAAAATACTGCTCATCAGTTTGTGATCCTCCACTGTCGTAGTTCTTCCTTCCTCCAACCATTTCAAGGACCAACATGCCATAGCTATAAACATCTGCTTTGTGGGAAACACCACCAAATGCTCTACAGAATATTTCTGGTGCAATGAACCCTATTGTTCCTCTTGTGCCTAGTATTGACACAATACTCTCCTTCTTTTGACATAATTTAGCCAATCCAAAATCAGATATTTTTGGAGCCAATCTCAGATATTTTTGAGAATTCTTCATCTAAGAGAATGTTTTGGGGTTTGATATCAAGATGCAAAATTCTCGTGTTACAACCCCTATGCAAGTACTCCAGTCCACGAGCAATGCCAATAGCAACTTGGTACAATACCTTCCACTCCAAAGTACAGAAAGCATTTGGAGATCCTCTTTGATAGATGAAATTATCCAAGGAACAGTTTGACAGGTATTCATAGATTAGTACTCTTTTGTTCCTTTCATAACAAAATCCCAGGAGAGTGACTATGTTGACATGGGAGGTTCTGCTGATGCTTGCAACTTCATTTATAAATTCTTCTCCACTTCCTTTAGATTCCCTTATTACTTTAATTGCCACTGGACGACCATCAGGTAGGCTGGCTTTGTATACAACACCATACCCTCCTTCGCCCAATTTGTCTGAAAATGATTTTGTCATTCTTTTCACTTCTGAGTAACTATATTGCCTTGGTGCCAAAGAGCCATAGTTTCTCATGAAGGATTTAAGATTGTGATCATGATATGCTCTTCTCTCTATGAATAATTTCCCATTTTCTATTCTGAAACGCTTCTTGCAAATATAAATAATCAAAATTGAGATTAGAGCAAGTCCACCAACTCCTGTTGAAATGCCTGCATTTGTAAAACATAATAACTTAAAATCTTTTTGAAATGTTAGTCGTGGGAGCAATCAAAACGAGAGCGTTACTATGTTTGTTACCTATAGCAACTCGCAAACCCAGCTTCTCAGTTGATCCTGCAAGTAGAACATTGATTTCGAACAAATAATTACTACTTGCTTGATCAGCAGAAAATCATTACAAATTTCACATTATATCACATTACATTTATTCTGCGGTAGCAGAGATGTTTCTTATCCTG